GTCTCTGTCCCACGTCTCACCCCCTCGGTAATGTCTAACCCCTGCTCTCTCAGGTACTGAGTCTTTCAGATGACTCTGAAGTGATTTCCCGACTGTAGGGTCCTCAGTCCAAGCCCTTTCTCACAGAGGGCACCTATTCTAGGAACTGCAGCTTTATCACAAGAAAACCCTCATGCTCCCCTCAAAACACATTATTCATTTTGTGAAATGTGGAAAGCATGTGATTTTGATATTTTTGTGAGTTAAGGTAAACTTGTTGTGTCAGAACGTATGTCACGTGATGGAGGAGGCGTTTTTTATCAAGTGACTGATCTCATCCTCATCCTCAACCATGAAATGGCCTTTTTGTAAAAAGACCATGTCATTAAAATAGGTTGAGTTTTTGGAAATTATTTTCAGAGCACTTTACTACATATAAACACCATCACGTACAAATCAGACCAAAAGGAACCCAGCCCGAGACTTCCTCGTTCAGGTCTCTGAGCTCTTCATTCACTCCCTATGGGCCATTACCACAGTATTTTTTGCCTTTTGTTACAAATTTCTTTGCCCCGTCTACTGTCTGTGATACAGAAAGGATTCGTATTCCTGTCAAAAAATAGGAAACATTATAGTCAGAGAGACACAGGCCATAGCAATCTAGAAAGGTACAGACCATTTCCACAAGATGAGACCAACACGTACAATTGCAAAAGGAAGTCCCTCTGAAACTCTATTCTTAATGACTCCCTGATACGGTTTGGCTGTGTCCCCACCCAAATCTCATCTTGAATTGTAGCTCCCATAATTCCATGTGTCATGGGAAAGACCCAGTGGGAGGTAATTGAACCATGGGGGCAGATCTTTCCCATGCTGTTCTCATGATAGTGAGTCTCACAAGATCTGATGGTTTTATAAAGGGGAGTTCCCCTACACAAGCTCTCTTGCCTGCCACCATGTAAGATGTGACTTTCCTCCTCCTTTGCCTTCTGCCATGATTTTGAAGCTTCCCCAGCCATGTGGAATTGTGAGTCCATTAAACGTCTTTCCTTTAAAAATTACCCAGTCTTGAGTATGTCTTTATTAGCAGCGTGAGAACAGACGAATGCACTGCCCCCAGGTCCAGGGGAGCTGAGAGAGAAGGAAATGCCAGTGTCCTCAAGACTCCAGGGAGAAGGTGAAAGAGGGTGCTAACATCCTAGAAAACCTTTCAGCTGTTCACAATAAGTAGAATAAGGCATTTCAAGGAACAGAGAGCCTTTCTGTCCTACCTCATCAAGACAATGGCCCATGAAAGGGAAAAATGGATTCAAACCCAGAACTCTCAACTCTTTTTACATGGCATTCAAAAGACCAGGTTTTCTGCTTGATCAAATACCCACATCGAAACCCAACAAGAACATTTAATAGACATGAAACATACTAAAACATTTAAAAATAATCCAAAAGAATGAAACCTGCCACCTGTTTATCTTCTCCTAAAGCTTGAATGGAAGCTTGTGATATGTTGATCTGCAAATCAAAATGGATTTCTATCTTCATGACTTCTTTGTAACTGATAAGGATAGGGTTCTTCAGGTAAATGATAAGCATCTTTATCTTCTCAGTTTCTAACAGAAAATATGGAATATCAATGGATATCAACATATTTCAATATTTTAAAATTTTATAATTTTAAATAACTACACTGGGGTATTTGTCTAGATTTTTCTGTGGTAAGAGATTGAAAAGAAATCATATTAAGTAACATTACATTGAAATTGTTCTTTACATTTACATGTGTATTTACACATATACACATACTATATGATTAAGTGGTTGATCTTGCAAACACTGGAAGTAACTTACCTTAGCAGCAAAGAAGTGAAGATAGTTTTGTCTTCTGCAATTCCGTTAAGAGCATTTTGTTTATACAAAGCTATCATCTGCAACAGGTATTTTATTGCCAAATATGCTAAGCACAATATTCACTCTCTCTCTGAAATTCTACTTATTTTTAAAATTGAAAATGAAACTCACTGTCCCCAGTGTGCAAAATGGAATAATCTACCACCATTTCAATGGACTTCGCTTGAAGAAGAGACAGAAACACCTTAGAAAGAAGTCTGTGTCTCAGACAATAGCCTCCTTGCAGGCTCCCACCAGGTCATCAGCCCTTTCCTGACAAATTGTAATCAGGCTTAGAAGAGAAAATAGCTTAGACCAAATTTACGAAGAGTCTAAGAATAAGCCACGTTAAATACAAGGTAAGTTGGAAGAAGCAAAGGCAGCTAAGTACAGGAAAGAACAGGCAAAGCTAATGGCCACAAATTAATGAGAAGGGAAAGAAGAAAAAAAAAAAGAGTGAAACATACATGGGTCTAAATCTGTGAGGTCCAACTCATCAGAGTACTCAAAGCATGCCTAGCACCAACTGAGATGCTCTGTAAGCATAAAATACACATCAGATTACGAAGACTCAGTACACAGAAGGAGAATGTAAAATGTGTCACCAATAACTTTAAAACATTGATTATATGTTAAAATGATATACTGGATTAAATATATTACTAAAATTAATCTATTTTTTTCTTTAATGTGACTACTAGAAAGTTTTAAATATCTGGCTCACATTATATTTATATTTCTATAGGACAGTGTTGGTCTAGAGTACAGCTCCCCAAAATATTAACCTTACTGGACATTTTACTCATCAATGCAGGGAAAGTCTATAAAACCCTGCAACAAAAGTAATCTTAAATATCTTAAAAAGTAACTAGCTAATTTGGCTGTGGGGATCCATGCAAACAGATAAGGGTCAGAAGAAACACCTCAAGGGCTACATGCTACACTGTCAGCTCCTTAGCCGGGAGGGCTATGATACAGAATAAAAGTCTTACTTACAGAGTTTACTAGAAAATCATCCATTTATTTGGCCATAAGAACAGAAACAGTGATACCTACTTCCTGTAGAACTTGTGCAACACTTTATATGTTAAAAACCATGAGCCACAGAAATGTGCCATATTCATGAAGTTACAAAATATTAACTTTGGCAAGTTGATTCCTGGGAGCTATAACTGAGTATTCATATTCTTAAACAAAATAATAAATTATTTTTACTTTTTTCCTTTTCCCTCCCTCTTAGCTCTTTAGGAATGCAATTATGAAAAAAAAAAAAAAACATTAAAAAGTGGGCAAAGGACATAAACAGACACTTCTCAAAGGAAGACAGCCATGCGGCCAACATATAAAAAAAATGCTTACTATCACTGATCACCAGAGAAATGCAAATCAAAACCACAATGAGATACCATCTCACGCCAGTCAGAATCATTAATATTAAAAAGTCAAACAACAGATGCTTGCAAGGTTGTAGAGAAAAAGGAACACTTTTACACTGTTGGTGGGAGTGTAAATCAGTTCAACCATTGTGGGAGACAGTGTGTTGATTCCTCAAAGACCTAGAGAAAGAAATACCATTTGGCCCAGCAATCCCATTACTGGGTATATACCCAAAAGGATATAAATCATTCTGTTATAAAGATACATGCACACATATGTTCATCGCAGCACTATTCACAATAGCAAAGACATGAAGGAACCTAAATGCCCATCAGTGATAGAATGAATAAAGAAAATGTGGTACATAGACACCATGGAATACTATGCAGCTATAAAAAGGAACAAGATCATATCCTTTGCAGGGACATGGATGGAGTTGGAAGCCATTAACCTCAGCAAACATGGGAAAAGAAAAACAAACACCACATGCTCTCACTTATAAGTGGAAGCTGAATGATGAGAACACATGGACACATGGTGAATAAAAACATACACTGTGGGGCTGGGTATGTTGGGGGAGAACATCAGGAAAAGTAACTAATGGATGCTGGGCTTAATACCTAGGTGATGGGATGGTCTGTGTAATAAACCACTATGGCACACATTTACCTATGTAACAAACCTACACATCCTACACATGTACCCATAAACCTAAAAAAAAATGCTGGAGAAAAAAATTAAATTATAACATTTACCTTTTTTCCATCAGGCACTCCCTGTGCTGTAAGCTCATCTAACTATATGTTTGCTTAGAAATTCTAAGGAGGCCAGCTGCAGTGGCTCATGCCTATAATCCCAGCACTTTGGGAGGCCAAGGCGGGTGGATCACTTGAGGTCAGGAGTTCAAGACCAGCCTGGCCAACATGGCAAAACCCCATCTCTACTAAAATACAAAAATTAGCCAGGTGTGGTGGTATGTGCCTGTAATCCCAGCTACTTGGGAGGCTAAGGCAGGAGAATTGCTTGAACCTGGGAGACAGAGGTTGCAATGAGTCAAGATCGTGCCACTGCACTCCAGCCTGGGCAACAGAGTGAGACTCTGTCTCAAAACAAAACAAAACAAAACAAAAACAAAAAGGAATTTTAAGGACCAAATTTGAACCAAACCAGGCACCCCCTGAGATTCTCCCCACCAGGAGAGACAACAGTTAATGTACAACCTAGGTCTGCCCATGATGGCACCAGTCGGACCACCTGATGGATAAGACATCAAACCAAGTCATGGAGCCCCCACACTTCCTCACTCTCTCCCTTACATGTCATTCATGCCAAGTCCCCCTTATAAGCCCTGGCTTTCTTGCTCACCCACTGCCTGGAAACAGACTTGGTGCTGTTGGGAGTAGGGGCACAGTGGGAGTGAGACCCACCTTTTGTATTGCATGGGAGCTGGGTGAGGCCTGTGACTGCAGGCTTTCCCCCACTTCCCTGACAATCTGCATGACTCAGCAGAGACAGCCATAATCCTCCTAGGAACATAACTCCATTGACCTGGGAACCTCACCCCTATCCCCAACAGCAGCTGCAGGAAGACCCGCCCAAGGAGCGTCTGAATTCAGACACACCTAATCCCGTCCACACCCAGTGGTCCTTCCTTACCTATCCTGGTAACTGAAGACTAAGGGCATATACTCTTGGGAGTTCTAGGGCCTCACCCACCCCTGTTCCTCCCCATTGTACCACAGCTGATGCTCTCTGGAAAGCGCCACCTCCCAGCGGAAGGCCGACCAAAACAAATATAGTGCATTAAACCACCAAAGCTAAGAACCATCACAGAGTCTGTTTCACCCGCCCGCCACCTCCATCAGAACGGGTACTGATATCCATGGCTGAGAGACCCATAGACAGTTCACATCACAGAACTCTGTGCAGACAACCCCCAGTACCAGCCTGGAGCCTGGTAGACTTGCTGGCTGACTAGACCCAGAAAAGAGATCACAATCACTATGGCTTGGCTGTCAGGAAGCCACATTTATAGGAAAAGGGGAAGAGTACTACATCAAGGGCACACCCCATGGGACAAAAGAATCTGAACAACACCCTTCAGCACTAGACCTTCCCTCTGACACAGCCTACCCAAATGAGAAAGAACCAGAAAACCAATTCTAGTAATATGGCAAAACAAGTTTCTTTAACACCCCCCAAAAATCACACTAGCTCACCAGCAACAGATCCAAACCAAGAAGAAATCCCTGATTTACCCGAAAAAGAATTCAGGAGGTTAGTTATTAAGCTAATCAAGGAGGCATCAGAGAAAGGTGAAGCCCAATGTAAGGAAATCAAAAACATGATACAAGAAGTGAAGGGAGAACTATTCAATGAAATAGCATAAATAAAAAACAATCAAAACTTCAGAAAACAATTGGCAACTTACAGAAATGCACAACGCTCTGGAAAGTCTCACCAATAGAACTGAACAAGAAGAAAAAAATGTTGGCCAGGCACAGTGGCTCACGCCTGTAATCCCAGTACTTTGGGAGGCCAAGGTGGGCAGATCATAAGGTCAGGAGATTGAGACCATCCTGGCCAACATGGTGAAACCCCATTTCTACTAAAAATACAAAAATTATCTGGGTGTGGTGGCACATACCTGTAATCCCAGCTACTCGGGAGGGTGAGGTACAAGAATTGCTTGAACCCAGGAGGCAGAGGTTGCAGTGAGCTGAGATCACACCATTCCACTCCACCCTTGCAACAGAGCAAGACTCCGTCTCAACAACAACAACAACAACAACAACAAA